AAATACAAAAAAAAACAAAAATACAAAAAAAAACAAAAATACCAAAAAAAACAAAAATACCAAAAAACACAAAAATACCAAAAATACCAAAAAAAACAAAGATTTCCACACTACTCCGGAGTCTGGACTAGTGTGGAAATCTTTGTTTTTTTGGTATTTTTGGTATTTTTGTTTTTTTGGCATTTTTGTTTTTTTTGGTTTTGGTTACGAACACATGTTTTAAAACACAAGCCGTTTTTTTAAACACAGACGTCAACACGAGGAGCCTAGTACATACACACGCGTGTCGAAAGCATGCAGAATGGACTGTTGGCAGAAAGGAACAAGTCCCCGAACTAGCCCTGAAGCTATATACACGAACATCTCGAACAGGTACAAACCAGCAGTTTCGTCCCCAAACTAGCCCTGAAGCTATAGAAAAGAGCATCTCGAACAGGTACAAACCAAAAGTTTCCATCCCACGCAACAGTCCTTTCTGTATCCTTAACGCCTAAACCCAAAACCCCAACCCTTAATGAACCCAAAGCCCTAAACCCGTTAAGCTCGTTTAGGTTTGTCTCGCGTGGGAGTTGGACACGGGGCTTGGTGTCGGTAGGCGTTGAGGTTTGGCAGGTAATAGGGAATCGGGCTTTAGTCTTAGGGTGTTGAGTCTCGGGCTTTGGCTTTAGGGCTTCGGTCTGGTTTGATCAGGGGCTTTGGGCTTGGACTCGTGAGTTTATGGTTTAAGGTTTGGGGTTTGGGAGTCAGCAGGCGCGCTTTGTCGGGGTATAGCATTACGGCAACAGAAATGTTGCAGTAGCCCCAGAATGCGAGAGTGCAAACAAGTCGGTCAAGTTGCAGAGCTTGCTCATAACTATGCCCATGGCAGGAGGAAGAAAACATGGCCCCGTTGTGATGTCAACCTATGCTTCTATGCGAAGAAAATACAATCACAATACCCAAGCCCGCTAGCCCTAAATCCTAAAACCCTAAACCCAAACCCAAAGTCCCTACCGGCACCCTGAGTACTAGTATTTTCCTGGATGAGAATGATGGCACAGGGAAAGCTAGAGGGCCTTGATCCTTAGACCCTAAACGACGGAACCCTGAATCCTGTATTTGCCCTAAGCCCCTAAAGCCTAAAACTAAAATCCTGCACTTTTAACCATAAAGGCGGGCGCCTAGAGCAGGTACCACCAAAAGCGCAAGCAGACCGTTTGGAACGTCGTCGAATTTCAGCTGCAGAGACGGCGAGATGTATCCTGCAGTCAATGTTACGTCTCGGACCTTGAACCCTAAAACCCAGCACCCTTTTTTTGAACCCAGACTCTGCCAATCAGCTAAAGCCTAAACCCTAAAACCCTTTGACCCAAGACCCTAAACCCTTCGGGCTTGGGTCGTCCAGCTGGGTGCTGACTGCTTGATCCGGCTCAAGGCTCTTAACACCCTGAGCCCGAAGTACCAAAACATGCGTGAATCCTAAATCCCAGAACAGATTCGAAAGCCGAGACGGTATACATGTTACTAAGCTTGAGTTACCGTACCTTGAGGCCTGAATACACAGTTTGTGACATTGTGACTACCCTAAGGTCTGAACACGCAGACCTGCCGCCTAGACCGAATTCATAGAGGGGTTTGCTAAGCATAAGTAAGGCGGCTTGCTTGTGGCTATATAAAAGATTTCTCAGGGTCTACAACCGCCTCCTTGGGCTATAAGGTCTTCGTTGTTGGGGGATGATTGATGCTATCAAGGTTCCTACTACTTCGGATCTACATTAGGGTCCATGGTTTCCTGAAACTCCCATGTAGATGCATGAATCCAGCGTGCTAACCCCAATCTGCCATAATAAACAAAAACCCATGGACTTTCAGTGAGCATCCAAACAAATTGGGGTGGGAGCCACTAAACCGTAAAGACGAAACCCTGAAATCCCAAGCTGCGTGGTGGAACCATCTAGGAGATCAACTTTTTGGGCCAATGCATCGGGACTCAAAGAGTTTTCGACCCCAGAGAGGCTGAAGGTTTTCGAAGGTTGCGTAGAGTTTAGGGCTTATACGGTTTAGGTTTAGGGTTTAGGGCTCAGGGGTTTTAGGGTCTAGGGTTCAGTCTACGACGAAGTTCTTAGTTTCAACACCCTGCAACGGGTTGTCCTGGCCAATGACCGATGATCTCGGGAGTCATAAAGCCCATGGTCGCTAGCATTGCAATGCGCCCATGCTTAAATTCGACGGATCGGCGGCGACGATACGACAGCAGGTCCCCGTCGTCAGTGAACCCCATAGGATCCCAAAATCCAAGAGGTGGCTGAACCTTGGCTTGCGTATTCATGCTGCAGGCATACAAAACCACAGGCAATTGTGGCGTGACCGAAGGTGCACTCAGCTAAAATGAAGGTAACCATAGTAAGCCCTGATTCAATTGCTGATGCAATCGCTCTCACAAGTCATATGCCTTTGCAGGAAAAGGTGCCGACCCCAGGAAATCTTTACACACGGCCTCCTTTACACCCTGTCTCGCTTTGGAAATGGCATCCTTAGGCTTGTTTTCCCACGATGTCTATCTCCGGGCGAAAGGAAAGGAATTTTGGCACCCTCACCCTAAGGCCCTTATTGCCGTTACTTTCTAGGGGAAGGTTTAGGCTGTGGGGGCTAAGGTTTGGGCTTTCATTATGGGGTCGATGAGCCTTAGGGCAAGAACAAACCCCCGACGTCGGGATTCGAAATGTAACCCTGAACCCCAAGCCCTAAACCTGCAGCCCTGAACCCTAAACCTACGATCCTAAACCCCAAAATATTTCGCAAAGCTGGTGGCCAGGGGGCCCCCAACTCATCTTCGAAGGCTCTCACAAGAAGCCTTGTCGGAGCTCGCTGACGCACTGTCCAGGCTCCAACAACTACCTCCACAAGGGGGCAACGGTCTAGGGTTTAGGGTTTAGGGTTGGTAGGCCAGGCTCCAACAACTCATTTTAGGATGTATAGGCATAAGTACGCTCAAAGCCGGAAACTTTGACAGTGAAACTCTCCACCCCTGAAGCCGTAGAGGCCTAATAAAGCTGCAAACCCCGAATCGGAACCCAAAACGCCGTGCAGTAAACGGTCACCTCTGAACCCTAGGCTAGGGTTTAGGGTTTAGCGTTAGGGTTTAGGGTAAAACCTGAAACCCCTAACATCGCGAAGCCCAAAACGACTAAATTCGTTGGAGCAAGGATCGGAGGCAACGACAGGGGCTACGTTGGAGGTCCGGCTCTTTACGTCGCTCCAAGAAGCGACAGGGCTGCAGCCTTGCTGTGCAAGGAAAGAAAAAATTGAGACGTCGGCTTCAGGGTTCGGGAGTCTACAGTTTATGGGGTTTGGTTAGGTTTAGGACTTAGGGTTTATATGGCTTGGTTAGGTTTAGGGGTTTAGGGTCTATGGTTTATATGGCTTGGTTCGGTTTGGGGGTTTAGGGTTTAGGGTTTATAGGGGTTGGGTTAGGGCTTAGGGTTTAGGGTTCATAGAGTTTGGTTAGGGTTTCGCGCTTGTGGCGCAAGGCTCGGAGCGCGGAGGCTTGAGGTAGACTCCTTTGCTGCAGGGTATACAGGACAGCATCAGCACCATGACCATCAAAGACGAGACGCCCCTGTACCAGTCCCTACATGTAGCTATATTTTAGGGCCAAAAGTCTGTGTGCACATATATACGTATAGTAAAGATACATATCTATGTCTCTATCTCTCTATCTCTCTATCTCTCTATCTCTCTATCTCTCTATCTATCTATCTATCTATCTATCTATCTATCTATAAATACACACACACACATACATATCCAGATATCGAGCGGTTAAAGCCCGACGAAAGCAGGGCTTCAATCCCGAACCCACGCAAACGGCCGGAATCGCCGGTGGGATCTGTCATGGGGTGGGGGGAGGGGGGGAATATATATATATATATGTATAAATACATACATACATACATACATACATACATACATACATACATGTATAAATAAGACACACACACATACTCTACAACACATCACATCACATCACGTCCATACATACATACATACATACATACATACAAACAAACAAACAAACAAACAAACATCCGTACGTACATACATAGGTGCATGGATCCTTAGATAATATCATAGATGTATAATTAAGTTTCCGGGATCCACGTTTTGGCGCAGGCACTCGGAGGCGCGACGATGAACGGTTTCGGCTGCGCCAGGGTGCCGGCTGAGACGCTGCTGGCCACAGCAGCCATGGGCTTATTGGGACTGTAGGACCTAGGAAAGCCCTGCTGCCAAAACATGCCGAAACCCTAACCGTAGCGAACCCTACGTGCTCACTCAAAAGCCAGAACATAACATCCACAGCGCTGTCTGAAGATGCAAACGAAAAATCTCAACCCTGAAGCCAGAAATTAAGCCCACAAATCACACCGTTCACTCGACATTAATCCGAATAATTGCTCGACTAGTTAGCTGGGGAAAAGCAGCGACTGATGGGATGCAATGCTCAGGGAGTTCTGGGTTTTGAGGATTTGGTGGGGCGTTTTCGTTTATTGCAAGCTTGTGTTGTTTTTTGCTATAGGGTGCAGCTGCGGCAGCTTAAGCTTGATAGGATTTCACACGACCTGACGCCGTCATTTTTCACAACCACCACTGCGTCGAGGATGTATGGCCCTGTGCACGGCAAAGGGTCCAAGTGCCAATGATATAGCTCCTATAGTACGTTCTTGTTCGACATTAAGCCGCCAAGGGATATAGTACTCTGTTACTTGGGCCCTTTCGGCAATTTGGAAGTCCTGGGACCCTGGTACACAAAGGCAGTCGCTGTCGGCAGCTGTACCGGGAAACGATCGCGAAGCTGTCTTCATCCCCGAAGGTTGGTTCGGCTTTACACGTAGTCTCCATTGTGGTTCCTGGGTTACTGTATGGCCTTAAACATCTAGGGGTTAAGCCAAAGAAAGGAACTACAATGGAGACTATATGTAGGGTGCCTCTGTAAGGTCGCAAACTAACGATGCATCCTGCTAACAAAGCTCCCCTTCGGCTGGCTCCGTCTTGGGTGGATGGAAAGCACGGAGCCACTCAAATGCTCTGTCGGCCCTTTGCTCAGCATCCTGCTCTGGTGCCATCCAGAGGGCTGGCGACTGGACCAAATTCTGCCTTACGTTGATGTCTCAGGGTTCAGGGTTTACCTGAACCCCGAATAACCTACTGTACTTTTAAGGACTTATCTAAGGAAATCATATTAAGGAGCACAAACAAGGAAGGTTTCTTAGGGTACAGGGTTTAGGGTCTGCAGAACAGTGGGACTTTTTTTGTGTTCAGGCTTTTGGAGTCGTCGTGCAGTGCAAGAGTGGATTGAACTAGCTGTTATTCTGGCATCTGGGGTCCAGAGTTTGTGCTGCGTGCTACAGAGCAAAACGGACTTCCACGATCTAAGATTAAATCACTAAACCACCACAAAATTGGCACTGCTGAACATGCTCGGCAATCTGCAGCCGCCCATGTTTGAGATCAGCAGTGTCTTCGGCATCGAAGAGGCAAAGCTTCGATACACGGGCAGCGTACTCCTCGTGCACGGGCCAAACGCAGCGATCGACCTTTAGGAAAAAAGGGGCTTCGGGGTTGGATACAAGGGCTTAGGGTTTAGGGTTTAGGGTTTAGGGTTTAGGGACAAACTGTTGAGGTTCATCTGGGTTGTACTGTAGGGTTTTATTTAGAGGGCGAGAAGAGGAAATGACAACGGCGACGGTCTTGGTCAACACAACTTGGATGTAGTACTTTATCGTTCATAGCTTGTATTGCAGCGCTCAGTGCGATCCATTTCAAGCTGTCGTAGAGCTGAAGCTAACCCCTAAACTCTGGACACCCTAAACGTTGAACTTTCCACCCTGCATTTTAAACCTGACAGCAGGGCTACTACACCCCCCCCCCCCCAACCCTAAATCCTAAACCTCAGACTCTCCGAACAAGAAACCGTCAACCCGAAACTTAAAATTGATCGTCGAAGCCTGCCCCCTACTTAGATCTGCTCGGCATTTTCTTTGCACCGTTGCACACAATCAGCTCGGGCTCACCTGCACGAGCAAACTTAAACCCAGCTTGCCTGCTGTCAAGAAGTTCGGGTGTTTTCCGTGCTTGTACTTGTACATACAACATCCACAACGTATTTGCCTCAGCAGCAAAATCACGGATAGACGAGCGGCACCTGTGAATTTTGGATGCGATCTTAGAAGCCCGGCTGCCTTGCTGTTCCCGAAACAAGTTCAACCTCCAGACATAGCTAAGGCGCGTATGCGACCGCATCGGGCCAATCTCGCGGCACCTGCCAGCGACGCTTTCGGCACTGCGCCTCGACTGCTTCTCAGCACCCTGCACGAGCTTGCATTATTCTGAGGGTTTAGAGTTCAGTGCTTGGGGTCTAACTAGGGTTGAGATAACCTTCCTGTCAGGTTTAGGGTCTGAAAGTTGTGAGGTTTTCAAAGTTGTACTAAAGTCCTACCGAGGAGCTTTGGTGCTCTCCACCCAAATGAAGCCGTCGAAGCGCTCGAAAAGGCTGCGGGTGCAATCGAGGAGCAGGTAGCCTGCATTCTGCCATCCCTGTGACCCCTTAGGGACGTAGGGGATAGGTCAGAGGCACCCGAAGCCTTAATAATCAGAATAGGTTTTTGGGGTATACTATACTATAA